TTTACAGCATGGTTGTCCAACCTTGGCCACTTTTAAGACTTGTGGACTTCAAGACTTGAAGTTCCAGAATTCCCTGGCCAGCCATGACCAAGATTAGACTGCTCTAGAGAAAAATGGCACTTTGCAACCCCTGTGCATGTTCATAAGAAAACTTCGCTTAGATTTTGGGTAAGACTCATAAATCATGTTGTGATAGAAAGCCCAACTTTTATTGAATCTTCTTCTTTCTTGGTCTTCGGAGCAGAGAATTCAACTTACTTCTATTATGCAGCCATGAAATGGGGTCCCCCCCCCTCCTCCCTCTGCTGGCTGAGAATATTTTGAATATGAAGATAGTTTTGTTTTAAATCTGAGCCTTTCCCAGCTGGCTGGTTATGATCAAGGCTGGCATTTTTGTACATTCAAAGCAAACATTAGCAAGAAACATTTCTTACTAAGTGACGTATTTAAAACAGCAGGAGTTTTTTAAAGGAAAAAAAAAAAGAAAGTGGAATATTCCTCCACCACCAACCCAAGCCCCATTGAGTAAACCTTTTTAAAACTGGTTCCCTGCAAGGGCCTCCTGGCTTCTACATGCTGTGTGGCGACTTTCAGCATGATTCCCACTGATTGTCTCCAAAATCCAAAAAGTACATATAAATCTAGGCAGCTGACATTTGATCTCCTCCCTCAAACTACCCAGCCTACTTTCTCAAATGATGAAGTACTGTCTTAACCTCATTTTAAAAAAGAAATTAGTTCTATTTCTCTCTCCCTCCTTCCCTCCTCCCTCCCTCCCTCCTCCCTCCCTCTCTCCCTCTCTCTTTTGTTCTTGTAACTTCTCCCCTCTTCTTCAATCCTTCCCACCCACTCAGCTCCTGCCTAGCAAGAGGCAAATGTTCTGTGGCTAACCTCAAGCCGCTCTGTTGGTAGACAGTCTGACCCACTTTGGGGAACAATTCTGACTTTCAGAGTTAGGGGGCTTATAAATAGATGCTCTTCTGCCAGGCACCCACAGGGCTGCCTTGTGGCCTAATCTGCTCACAAGTTTCCTGCTTTTACAGCGTTTACACACACATACACAATGTATATCTATATGCAATCTCTATCTCTCTCTCTCTCTCTCTCTCTCTCTATCTATCTATCTATCTATCTATCTATCTATATTCTTAAGTTTTCTCGGGTACTTACATGTATGGTATTCAGCTTTGTTCAGGTATTTTCCCACGTCATTATAGTTTTGCTTTTAATACACACACACACATATATACACACACATACTCTATACATACACACACACACATACACATTATATATGCAGTGTATAAAATAATACATATCATACACATTATATATGCATACAGACACTATACATACACACATAAACACGATATGCATACACACACAAAACATATTAGCGCTCTCTCCCTCTCTCCTTCTCCCTCTCCCTCTCCCCCTCTCTCTCCGTCCCTCCCTCTCTCTGTGTGTGTGTTTCTCTCTATATATAAGGTACACGAGCCTTTGGAAATCAAGTTCTTAATGACTTCTTAGAAGCCCAAAGGATCCAGAGCCCCCCCTATTATCAGGGGCAGGTCAGCTGTGTATCTGATGGAGCAAACCCCCGGCGGAGAATTATTTCTCTCTCCCTCTTTCCCAGTTCGGAGATATTTTCCATCAATGATCCTATCCACCCTGGTGAACGAAAGCAAGGACGGAAGAGATTGTCTTCATTTCCCACAATGCTTCAGTGTGACGATAGCGATATCCTGGCACCCTGACAAGGCAGCCCACCACTGAAACTGCTGGATAAGCCTGTTGGAGATCTGCTAAGGAAGAAACAGTTGAAACTCTTTGGAGAAGAACATTTTCAGGAAATTGGAAGGCAAATTTTAATTCCTTTCCCTTCCCAGGGGCTGGATCAGTCCCTCTTTGGCATCATACTCGGTTAAACCTCTCAGGAGAAGGAAATGTCTCTGGTTGGGTTGAAATGTGCTTCCTTCCACCTGTCGATGTCTTCCAGGTGGACCAATTTCAAGCAACCTTGAAATGGAAATCATTCCACGTCAGAGCAGGAACGCTCCAGAAGACAACGTGCTCTCCATGAATGAGCACTCAGTGAGTAGCTGTTTCCCAAGTGTGTAATTTACACAATGCACCAAATACCATGCTGCACAAGGGAGTCATTTGGGCACAACTAATAAAAATCAGTGGAAAAGGAGTTGTAAACACTGGGGTCAGCCAGGACGACTGCAAGCTTCATTCTCATCCAGGACCTGTCACTGACAGTGGTCAAAACCAGATGTTTTGGCCACCAGATGATTTAAATGTAAGGGCAAGATTACTTGCCAAGCAAAGGGTGCTTCGTCAGCCAGGCCCACATTCCTTGGCATAGCCAAGAGTCCAAAGGATCAGAGGATCAAACTGAGGTCACTCTATGGACTTTTTCATTGTTAGACCCAACGTATGGGATTTGTTTTGCCTTTGATCCAGGCAAATTCCTCCCCTTTTGACCTGTAGCTCCACTCCTTTCTTATAGTACGCTCAGTCTCCTAGAGCAGTTTCCCAACCTTGGCAACTTGAAGTTCTGTGGACTTCAATTCCCAGAATTTTCCAACCACCAAAATTGAAGCCAAAGAACCTTGAAAACTTGAAGATATGTGGACTTCAACTCCCAGAATTCTCCAAAGAGGATGGCTACCATAGGGTTCGAAGAACTGAAGAGGACTTCCCTTGCAAAATTCCTCCTGAGCCACAGTAATGACGTGCGTTAGAAAATTCTATGGTTAGACAGTCCTCTCTGTCAAGAAAGGCTTGGATTTATTGGAGCTAAATCTCCTGTCACTGAACTTCATGGGTAGGGCCTTGAAAAGCATGCAGACATATCTACCTGCCAACTTATTTCAACCTGGCAAGGAAGGAATCACTTGTTCTCTTGGCAGCTTAAGATAACACCACTAACTAGCTTCAAGCTGAGGATTTGGAGCACCGCCTTGTATCTCATGATAAAGGAGAACAGGCACTGAGTGCGCTTGGCTCTCAGATTTGCAGGAATGTCTGCTTGTAGAAAAGCTGGAGAGTCCAAAGATGCTCTTAAGTTTCTGGGTCACCGAGCCCCAGCAGGGTTTTTGGTTTGCCAAATATGTAGCACAATGCGGGGGTCATACCCCCAACATATCCAAATGGAGTCCCTATTTGCTGCATCATGTCAAGTGCTCTGCATCATAGGCAGGGTTGGCTCTAGCATTACAGACATAGTGAGAAGGATGATCTCAATATTCAGCCCTCAGGAGAAGGACGTCCCCAGCTTGGCTGTGCTTCCTTCTTTTTTGCCAAGATAGTTCACAACTGTCCAGAAATTCAGGAGATTGGATTGTACCAAATCAGACTATTGACCCATCAACCTCAACTCAATCTACTCCAGCCTGCTGACAGTCCTTCAGATGCATAGGACTGTCCATTTTATTCCCTTAGATGGCATTCTACTCCCTTGTGGGACAATTTAGATGGTTCAGTGCCCACAAATCTGAGTCCAGACAAGGCCAATATTGGCAAATGGAATCGCTGGGTCTTTTGCCAAAATACCTGTTTTGTTTTGGTGAGGGCCCTTGCTGGTCATTCTGGCCCCTTCTAGATTTCATTTTTTCCCCATTTTCTTCTGCCTCGCTGGTGCAGTGGTGAGAGTGCAGTACTGCAGGCTACTTCTGCTGACTGCTGGCTGCCTGCAATTTGGCAGACCGAATCCCACCAGGGTCAAGGTTGACTCAGCCTTCGATCCTTCTAAGGTGGGTAAAAGGAGGACCCAGATTGTTGGGGGCAAGAGGCTGAATCTGTAAACTGCGTAGAGGGGGCTGTAAAGCTCTGTGAAGTGGTATATAAGTCTAAGTGCTCAGTGGGAAGTAACAGAGGGAGGGAGGGAGGGAAGGGAGGGAGGGAGAAAGAAGGAAGGAAGGAAGGGAGAGAAGGAAGGAGGGAGGAAGAAGGAAGGAGGGAGGAAGAAGGAAGGAAGGGAAGGAAAGAAGGAAGGGAAGGAGGGAGGGAGGAAGAAGGGAGGGAAGGTCCATGGTGGTGCAGTGGTTTGCTGACTCTGTCAACTGTCAGGAGTTCAATCCTGACTGGCTCAAGGTTGATTCAGCCTTCCATCCTTACAAGGTGGGCAAAATGAGGACCCAAATTATTGGAGGCAAGAGGCTGACTCTGTAAACTGTTTAGAGAGGGCTGTAAAGCACTGTGAAGTGGTATATAAGTCTAGGTGCTATTGCTATTCAGAAATGAAGGTCCTTACTTTCCTCCATGTGGATTAGGTCCAGAAAAAAGAGGTCAAATGAACAGTAACCGTAACCAAAGACAAGGTGACAATGTCATATTCAACAATACTGGAAAATCTACGGCTTTTAGATTTTGCACAGATTGTTAGCAGATTTAAAGCATCTCTTAAAAAAAGAAAAACTCCAACAAATGTTTGTTTGATTTGGAATTTGGAAAGATGGACCTTAAGTTCCTTCTGAAGGAACATGCTGCATTCTAGTCCAGCTGTACTTGCTTTAAGGAGTTCATGCTACAGATGCTCTCTTAACATCTGGGACTGATCAGCAATCCATGAATCCAGGGGGGAGGGGGGAATAAAATGCCCCCTGAGGCAGAATATGGAGCTCAAGTGGAAAACTAATCAAGAAGGTCTAATCAAAGGGGAAATCCTTGTTGTGGTCAATCAGTGTTGAAGCTCTTTTCCATTTGGAAATCAAAGGAAATCTTGCTTGGAAATGTCATGGTTTGGCCTTCTCTATTTCTCTCACTCCTCCCCATGGCAGTAAGTAGGTAACAAGCCTCAAACAACATTTGGGGGTTGGATGGGAGGGATGAAAAAATATTTCAGAGAGATTTATTAACAGATGTGATCATCATCATTCTTGGTTAGGACAGTTAGAGGAGACAGAACATGCTAAGAAACATATCATGCTTTTGACTCACCAGCAGAGGAAGGGAAAGTGCTCAAAGACAAAGCCTGAAGTTGGCCTTCGGAATGATTCCCATGGAGTTGGCAAAGCCAAAAGGAGACGGCAGTGAGTTTGGATGGGCAAGAACCTGGTTTCATTTGTAAGACTTTCTTCTGATTCTAATCTCATCTAATCAGGTCAATCCATTGTCATCAAAGCAATGTACATTTTGGGTCTACATTGTCCTTAAAAATTTGTGTTTGTGTGTGAGACAGAGATAGAGAAGCATTAATTTGGGGAATTCTAAACTTCTATGTAAACAGATTGTTTGTCTCTACAGGCTGATAAACAGGAAACACCGATTTGTCTTCAGTAGCTGTACAACATTGACTCTTTTTCAACGTTGGACTAAACTGCTGGATAAATTGCTCTCAAGTTTTGAAATTGGTACATAAAGCAAACAACATAGATCCAAATGTTTCTTTAAAGACCAACTGATTGAACTGCTTAGATAATCAGGAAGAGAAGAAGGTCTTACAAAAGAAATCAGGTTCTTACCCATCCAAACTCACAGAACAATCTACTTGGGGTTGTAGCTTCGGTTTTCCATTAAAATGTTTAAATTCTTGGGCAATCTTCTCCAACTTTTCCTTCACTTCAGATCCTCTCCAACCATAAAATACTTTTAAAGGAAATATTTGTGGCTCCCTGATGAAGTTACCTAGTTTGGGTAATGGAACATCTGCAAGAAAGCAATCAAGCTCAGAGAGCACCAAGGACCTCTTATAAAGTACTTCAACCACTATTGGATGTAAATTGCAATTACTGAGCAAATTTGAGTCCCATTGAATGGAATAGGCTTTCTATAATAAGTACATTAGTCTAGGATTAGGCCAATGCAATGAACAGACAAAGCAAGCAGTGTTTTCTCTAGTTGAAGAAGGAAATTGGAAAAATTAAAATGATCATGAAGACTGACAATTCTATATTATGCTCTACAGCCCACTAGGTTAAAATGGGTCCATTCAAAGCAGGCAAAGATCTGATCCTTGTTCTGTTATAACTTGATACTTGTGCATAAAACTGCCACACTCTTTCCACTGGCTCAAGATAGGTCCACAGAAGATGCTTCACCCGTTGACTGAATTAACCTATTTTCTGGGTGTGCCTTGCTAATTAGAAAATAAGCAAACACATCGACCTGGCACCCGCCAAACCAAATGAAAGAAACTTTAAGCAAAGCTGAAACGGGACTGAAAGTTGCTTGGATGCAGAGACCCTGGCTTTGTTACTTGACCTCATTAAGCAAGCTGCAATTCGGCTGTACTGTCGAGTTGCCCCATGGAAAGAGACCTTGTGCATCCTCCTCTTAAAGTAAACACATTCCTGAATCTTCGGTATGATTCTAAAATGTGGGATTTGGTAAGGGGGCTTCTATCCGCAAACCTTGCCTTGTCTGCTTTCTCTCCTGCAACAGAAAGAAAGAAAGAAAGAAAGAAAGAAAGAAAGAAAGAAAGAAAGA